TTCCGTCTTGTCATTTTGTGCAGAGGAGAATAGATTAATGAGAGAACAAAATGCTAGCAGAGTAACCACGTCCCCAGAAAATATACTCTAAACAAATCAGAAAAGACCTGAAGCAGTGGAAAAAGAAACAGAAAGAGAGAAAAAAGAAAAAGAAAAAAAAGATAAAGATAAAAACAAACAAAAACAAACAGCAACAACAACAAAAAAAACCAGAATGTGATCAAATATGATCAGGCTGGTATATAGATCAGTGCCACACACTAGATTTGGGGTGTATTTTGGTCTTTTAGGAGAAAGTGCCTCCCAAAATTTTAAAGAAAGAAAAACTTATATATGTACAAAAAATAAGGGTTGATATGATGAAAGGATGGAATATGACTGTAAAGATGGAAAGTATAAAAAATTTTATAAAAGGAATTGATAAGAAGTTGTTTGAAAAAAGAAAGAAGAGGATTTAAAAAGAGAGAAAAAAGAAAAAAAAAGGGAGAGAATGTGATCAGGCAGGGGAGTAGAAAAAAACATATACTAGAGATTTAGGGTGTATTTTAATCTGTTAGAAGAAACTATCTCAAAATTTTAAAGAGAGAACAACTTATATATATATGCCAAAAATACGGGTAACTACTATGAAGGGATAGAATATGACTCTAAAAATGAAAAATAAAAATGTTTTTTAAAAAAAGGGATTGATAAGATGTTGGTTGAAAAAGGGAAAAAGAAAAATTCAAAAAAAAAAAAGAAAGAAAGAAAGACAATTAAAAAAAAATTGACTTTGAAAGTCTAAAGAATCATGGTAAAAAAGCCATGGATTCTATGTGCAGTAGTCACCTAGCGCTGGAGTTCTGCCGTTGTCATTGATCGGTAAACTTGGTCTTGGCTGACTGTTCTCGCTGATCTTCTGGGGAAGGGCCTGTTGCCGTGGTTCCCAAATGTCTTTGCCGGAGGTGGAATTGCCCCGCCCTTGCTCCCTCCCGGCTCAGTAATCTGCTCGGGTTTGCTCTCCGGGGCTTTTGTTTCCTGCGAGCTTTCCGTACAGCTTTGGAGGCGGAGAGTGAAAATGGCGGCCTCCCAATCTCCGCCCCGGAGGAGCCGAGAACTCGGGGCCCCGCTCCTCAGTGAGTCCCCAGAGAAAAGCCGTCAGTCACTCCCGTCTCCCCGGTCTCCGGCCGCACTCCGTGCTCCCCCGGCCTGTGACCGCGCGTTTCTCTCTCTGGCACCCGACCCCGGGTGGAGTCTCCAAACCCAGCAGATCCCTGCGGTGCACTCCCGCGTGGCTCCTCCCGGGGGAGGAAGGTGAGTCTCCCCGGATCTGCCGCTTGTTGGGTCCCTGCTGGAGGAGCAGGGGCCCGACTGTGCCGCGGATCACGGTTTATGGCCACCCCGAGCTGAGAGCCCGCGCCTGGGCTCCGCCTCTGCAGCCAGCTTCCCTGCTCCGTTACCTGGGAGCTCTGCTGCACTCAGGCACCCCCGGTCTTTCTGTGACCCCGAGGGTCCTGAGACCACACTGTCCCGGAGGGTTCCACCTCCCGCTTAGCCACCAGAGTGACGTCCCTCAGGGGAGCAGACTTTTAAAAGTTCCGATTTTGTGCTCAGCGGCTCTATCACTTGCCAGAAGCAGCCGTCGGAGGCCCCTCCCCCGCCATCTATCCTCCCGAATATCGCCTCGGATTCACTTCTCCGCACATCCTACCTTCCAGAAAGTGGTCGCTTTTCTGATGAGAGAGTTGTTGCTCTTCTTTTCTTCGATCTCCTGTTGAGTTTGTAGGTGTTCAGAATGGTTTGATCCCTATCCAGCTGAATTCCTGAGAGCAGATGAAATCCAGGTCTCCTACTCCTCCGCCATCTTGCTCTGCCCTCCAGAGGGAGAGATTTTAAACAATCTTTTTATTTGTATGTTTCAGTGGTGTCAGTTTTCATGAACTTCATTATAAAAATTAAAAAATAATTTCTCTATAAAATTCAAGAATATAAATGCCACCTTACTTGGTAGTATTTCTGAGAATTGCAACTGTAATAATTAGATGTAACTTTTCTGCTATGTTAAGAGAAGACATATGTCCTTTCCTTAAGAATTCTACTTAAGGGGCGCCTGGGTGTCTCAGTCGTTAAGCGTCTGCCTTTGGCTCAGGTCATGATCCCAGGGTCCTGGGATCGAGTCCCACATCAGGCTCCCTGCTCGGCAGGAAGCCTGCTTCTCGCTATCCCACTCCCCCTACTTGTGTTCCTGGTCTCGCTATCTCTCTCTCTGTCAAATAAATAAATAAAATCTTTAAAAAAAAAAAAAAATTCTACTTAACTTTCTGTCGGCTGGGTGGCTCAGTTGGTTAAGCGTCTGCCTTCGGCTCAGGTCATGATCTCAGGGTCCTGGGACTGAGCCCCATATTGGGCTCCTGCTCATTGGGGTGTCTGCCTCTCTCCCTCTCCCTCTGCCTGCCGCTCCTCATGCTTGTGCTCACTCTCTCTCTCTGTCAAATAAATAAATAAAATCTTAAAAAAAAAAAAGAATTCTCCTTACCTCTCAGTGTTTAGATAAATATCAAATTCTGGTTTGCCTCTTCTACTGGTCCTGAATTTATTGTGGCTTAAAAACTTCAGATTGCCCTCAAATTTACCAAGCATGCCACTCACTTCTTGGTGCAATCTCCAGACTCACAAAGCCTGATTCTCCGTATCCCCCATCACATATAGAAGTGGAGCTGCCGAGGCTATGGGAAAGAATGAAGAATGACCATTGATTCTATTTTCTGGCAAAACAAACAGCAGACAAACAGCCATTTCTGAGCCACCTCAGCTCCCCTAAAGAGTTCTTGTTCAACCAGGCTGAGGGCCTAATGGCTTTCTAACTGCCTAGTCATATCATGGACATCTTGGTCTGTTCCCATATTTCAGTATACTTTCTTCTTTTGACTTCTTTCCTGCACATCTGTTCCAATTGTTTGCAAAAGTTTTTTATTCCTAATCTTTTTTTTCTTCCTTTTAGGTTCATGAGGGGTAATCTCACTAAAATTCCTGTTTTTAAATACCACAGCTGTCTCTCAAGGGCCCCAAGCGCACACCATCAGGAAGCTTCTTATTCGCACAAGAACTCAAACACAGTCTTGCAACTTTTCTACAATCCTATTCTTTCACATGGTATATTGTTTCTCCCAGGAGCAAGCTTATGCGTCGTTGGCCTCTCCTTCCAATGCACACGTTCTGGTTTTCCCTTATAGCACTAGTACAAAATATTAACAGCACTTTTTCTCTGTGGGCTCCCTCTGATTTCTGAATCACTTGAGAACAAAAATCCTGTCTTTTCATGAAAGTGTGTTAGGTATCTATCATGGTATATAGTAAGCAGTCAAAAAAAAAAAAATGCCATGTAAAGAAAATAATGCATCTACTTTCAAAAAAAGCATTGTTACCATCTTTTTTCTATAAAAGACATGTTTCAATTAATTACTTTATAAATGAACTACTTATGGGCAAATTCATAAAGACAGAAAATAGGTTAGAGGTTACCAGGGGCTGGGGGGAGAAGGAAATGAGAAATTATTGCTTTGTGGGTACAGTTTCTCTTTAGAGTGATGGAAAAGTTTTGGAATTCCTGTGGTGATGGTTGCACAGCATTGTGAATGTAATTAATGCCACTAAATTGTATATTCAAAATGGTTAAAATGACAGGTTTTATGTTATATATATTTTACCACGATAAAATTAAAACATGAATTATTCACAAAAAAGAAAGGCACTAAAATAGTCAAGATAACTAAATGTGTATTTTCTAAAAAGAAAAGCTTCTTTTCTAAATAGAAAATTCAGAAAAGGAAGCCCAGTAATTCTTAGAAACAAATACAATTGTAGCAATACTTTTTTTTCATGTATTCTCATTTAAGAAATATATTACTACAACAAAAACCATCATTAAATAACACAATGAATTTTAAAAGTGAATGAGTGAATAACTGAATAATCAAAAGAAAGCACCAATTTTTTAAATATTTTATTTATTTACTTGAGAGAGAGCAAGAGTGAGAACTAGAGAGAGAGAGAGAGAGAGAGAAAGCAGGAGACAGAGAGAAAGAGGGAGAGGGAGAAGCAGACTCCCTGCTGAGCAAGGAGCCCAACGCAGGGCTCAATCCCAGGACCCTGGGATCAAGACCTGAGCTGAAGGAGATAGATCAAGACCTATCAGCTGCTTAACTGACTGAGTCCCCCAGGCGCCCCAAGAAATCACCATTTAAATAAACAAACCTCTATGGTTGAGTGCCTGGGTATATCCAGGCTGGGTTTATCACTGTGACCACAGACAGACATTATTAGTGGGTCAAAATGGTCAGATGTTCACATGCATGGGAAACAGACAGACACATCTGTCATGCATTTTTGATAGGAAGCACTGCCAAGTTTAATAGTCCTAAGACTGATGGGTCGGACAGACTGGATTTGTGCCCTGGATCTGCTTCATATGGGACAGTGTAAGACTTTAGTCTCACTGAAACACAGGTTTCTCATCTAACAAATAAAGGGGAAAAAAATCCAGTATCATGTCATTTTTGTGAAGGTGAAGAGGGCCTGGTTAAGGTTTCATGCAGTTCTTTATGGCATATTATTAACATAGAGGTCCAGATAAATTTATATTGAACAAGTAGTTATTCTACATAAAATATCATGAGTTCTGAAAATACATTCTTTGTGTGAACTCTTTTTGTTTCTTTTACTTTTCTTTTCCCGTTTCTTTTTCTTTTCCATTTTGCCAAATTTATACTTAGCATACTCGGTAATTGATGCAATATTATTTCATTTAAAGCTCCAGGCCATTGGAAAATACGAGTCAGTGTTTAGAGCAACCCTAACTGTGGGCAATCTGTAAATTATCTGTCTCAAAAAATGGTTGTTAAAATAAAGACATATTCTTTGCCTTGAAAGGTCAGTTTTAAAGCATTGAATTCTGTGTGGGATTTTTTTCTAATCTTTTCTCTTTTTCTGTTTCTCTTCCTCACATGCTGACTTCGGTGTAGCAGACCACTTGGGGATTGAATTCATGGGTAAGACTAAACAATTTGCTCCTTAAATATCCAGAAAAACCTAAGTTTCATAATGTATATAGTATTCTCCTTCCCCATCTGATTATAATTGAAATGTCTCATTATCAGATGCTGTTAGTAGTAAAAAGTGTTTTTGTCGATTTTTCACTAAGTAATGGCTCAAAATGAAAGACTTAACTACTTACCGGGAAGGCAATTGAATGTTAAGTGCAGTTCTGGAATCATAGAGTTTGGATTTGGCTCCTGGCTTTGTTTGCTCTATTTCTCAATTTTCTTATCTGTAAAATAGGGATGATAATAGTTCCTATTTTACTGCACATGTAAATTGCTTAGCACAATGTCTACAAGATGGCAAACACTCAATAAATGATTGAAAATAATAGTGATGGCTTAAAAATGTTAGTTTTGTTATTTTCCGCTCTAATTCATTTTCCTTTTGCATGATGATTATTTTGTATACATTTTAGTATCAATCAATTTGGAGTATGGGCTATATAAACATTTCCATTTACAAAATTAAAATATTTCTTGTGAAAGTAGTTGCAGTGAATGGTATATTTTTAAAAGCATTAGGGTGTCTTCCACAGGATTATTATTATGTTCAGGAACTATTATTATTATTATTGTTCTTATGTTCATAGATAATTACATTAAGAATTGAACATACTTTTCTGAGTCTATTTCATAAGTAAAATAAAAAATTAAAAAATAAAAACATTCTATGGGTTTGATATACATCATGATGCTAAAACGGAGTGATACTCAGGAGTTAAAGTTAGTGAAATTGAGAAGACCTAAACTTGAAATCCAAATTAATAATTCTTTGCTTCTTTGGCTTTTGTTGAAATTCAAATTTTTCTCTTATATAATATAGATATTGATACTTCATATGTGAATATGGTTATTGTGATAATATTTATAAGTTTAATTGTATTCCTTTATCTATTCACCCATTCATTCAGCAAATAATTATCAAGTGCTCACTATAAGCAAAGAAAAAATGCAAAATATTAGAGATAAAAAAATTGTAAAAATGGACAAAAAAACCGGTCCAATGACACAGTCTAGTAAGCTTACAGATAATAGGTAATAAACCATAGATATACAGTTGAGATTTTCCTAAGACCTATTTCAGGCAAGATGATATTACCTTCGACTAGTGTGATTGTGGAGGATATGGAGAAAATGATCGATATTTAGGACATGGTATCAACAAATATTTGAGAAGAATTAATGTTGAAGGTTAGAAAAGAGAGATTATCAAAGATGATACAGGGTTTATAGTTTGCCTATTTAGATAAAAGTTAGGCCCATTTACTGAAAAAGAACACTGGAAGAAGAACAGATTTATGGGAAATGTTTTACTAGATTAGGTTTGGAAATGTTGAGTTCCGGGTACCTCTGATATATTGAGAGAAGATGTCAAGTTTGTAGTGTACTGCTGGAAGTTTTTAGGGTTGATTAGAGCTTAGTGATTTAATATTTATACTGGAATTGATCTTCCCTGTTATGTGGTATTTTTCATTAGTGTTCTATTATCTGGGTATTATATCATAGAAAAAGCAGACAGCTCAATTCCTGCAGGCTTGGGGTTTTGCTAGAACAGATGAGATGAAAAATCATAAGGGCAATGAAATTCAGGATAATATTCAAATGAAGCATCATGGAATGTAAGGTAGATGTGGAAGGAAGTGACAAAAGGCTAGCTACCTGAATGTAATCGATGAATAGTTATCGTGGGAGTACTCAAGCATATTGTTGGCATGGGGAGCAGATTATAGTCATATGGGTCAGAAATTACAGAAAATTATGGGCAGGGTCATGTAGAAGAGTATAAATTGTGAGAAGGATACGTGGCTTGTACTTTCCTCATTTACCAGTGATGGTGGGGATTAACAACATGGAAGTCTGAACATCAACAGTCACTTTGTGGATAGTGGGTACTGGATCTAGTGGATACAGAAATTTGCCCCACTGGATTATGGTGATTGCAGGCTTTGAGAATAGAGGTTCCAGAAGTTATGTAACAGAATGACTGCATATATAGGAAACACCATATAGCTGGTAGGTGGGGCTGGGCTAGCTTCAGACTCCACAAGTGGTATGGCTATGGTTAGGTAAACATAAATTGCTGCACTGATGTTAATTATAACTGTTAAAAAAAAAAAAAAACTGGACCCATCACCATCTTATTGGGCTTTTCCTGAGGACCTCCAGTGACAGATTAAGTTATGGTAACAGTTTGCTAGGGTACCAACATATGTATTAAAAAGTCTGTGTTAAAACATTTACAAGATTTCAGTTACTGGTAGGTGAAAAATAATAGGTAATTGTGTAGTTCATCTATAAGAATCTCAAGACTACGGTTATAGTGAGTCTTGCAAAACTTGGTGTCAAATCGTAGCTATAAAGCCTTATAGGAAATGAGTTCTCAATGTGTGAATATTTGACTCCGGCAGTAGAGAATGCCTTGTACAGAAGGGGTTGAGCAAGAAGTCAGAAGGGAATATGTAGCATGTATACAGATAATGACAACTAATGAAGGCTTGTTTGAAATGGTGAATAGGTTAGTGAATGAACTCTTTCACTGAACTTACTAGTTCCAGAGAGTGTTCACCCCCACCCATATTCTAACTGAATATATAAAATTCTTTTTGTTGCTTTGGGAACATATATTTTCAGATTTAACTTGTGATTTTAGAGTCCATATGGGTAAAATTCCTTCCACTGAAGGTTACTACCTTACATGCCAGTAATATGACTTCTCTAGCATAAATACAGCTGGGAAGCAGAAATGTGGGCATAGTCTCTATAAACTAACCATGTCAGTATATTGGAGTACCTAAAATGATCAGCGCCAGTTCTGTTTTAATGAGTTCTAGAATAGCTTTCTTCTCAACTTTCATCATTCTTACTTTGGGCAATGTTACTTTCATCTTTCCTTGAGTTGGGACTCAGATCCCAAAATGATGATATGAAGCACACAGCTCTTTTCCCCAAGTCTTTGTATTCCCAGTGGCAAGTCTATGTCATTGATCAGACTCAAAAGCTGAATACTTTGTGCAGTTTAATAAATTCCTATTTAAAGCAGGAACTCCATATCATATGACTCAACAAGAATCCTATTATTATTTAATCAACGTATACTTCTCACACTTACCGTATGCCAGATGGATAAGATGCTGAAGATGCAGATATATAAGCCACATCCTTTAATGCCCAAAAGACTGAAAAGAAAGAAAGCTACACATAATTGAGGTAATATTAACAAGTGCTATCAAAATGACATAGGCAAGGTACAATGAAGGAAAAAGTGAATTTTAAAAAAGCATCTAGGGCGCCTGGGTGGCTCAGATGGTTGAGCGTCTGCCTTCGGCTCAGGTCATGATCCCAGGTTCCTGGGATCGAGTCCCACATCGGGCTCTCTGCTCCTTGGGAGCCTGCTTCTCCCTCTGCCTCTCTCTCTCTGTCTCTCATGAATAAATAAATAAAATCTTTAAAAAAAAAAAAAAAAAAAAAAGCATCTAAAGGTGTTTGGGAAATTCAGAGACAGCTTCCTGGGGGAGGAGACATGTAAGCTGAGTACTAGCCAAAGTGGATAAACTGTATTGAGTGATATCATAGTCCAAATCTGTCCCAGCTCTGTATTTCTTCCACATTAGGGTGAGCCTTGCTATTTCAGTCTCTCTATCTGGGTCCATAAGCTACCTAGAGTCACTGCTTTAGGACCAACGAAAGCCTATCAACTTCAGTAAAAACACTTAACCAAAAAGCTTTTCTGAGTCGATTTATTAATTTCAAGGAATAATTATCTTATCATATAAGCCATGCTAAACCCAATGACCATAAAACTGTCAACATTCAGAAGGATTTGTCCTTAATTATATTCATGAATTTTTCTTAATGATGCTTCTGGGACCAGTACAATGGACATATCAACAACACATACTGTCCTGGAATACGGTATCAGTTTAAAAAAATAAAGTTAACTGATTTAAATAGAGCAGGAATTAGAAGGTACATGGAAGCACAAAATTGTATTTGTGAAAAAAATGTAAAATCAGAGTTTATATTAAGTCAGTAATCAAAAATATTTTTTGAATTAGTGACAACCTACTCAGTATGCATGCATGAGGGAAAATTGAGATTTTTAAGGTCAGATGTTCCAGTTTTCCACACAGGGTGAAAAGATCAGGAGATGGAGTAGACACACTTCACCCTAAGCACAAACACTCATTGAGAAATCCACCCAAATGTCCAGAGGAGACAGATGGCCAAAGGGCATGTCAGACTGGCCAAAATTTGGAAGGCACATTTATCATCAAGAGGGATTTCTCATCTGAGAAGTATCTCGCTGTAGTGTCAGGTGCTCAATCATGGAGCATATCTCATTATATCCATTTGAGCTCTTTGTTATGCAGCTATTTCTTTGACAATACCCTGATGCATTGGATGCTATAGGTATCAAAGATGTTTGTATAAAAGCAGGTGCAACGCCACTTGCAAACATATTAGCAAACCATAGGGAGAGCTGAAGATTGTGTGGGAGATCTTTCATGCAAATTTCATTTTCATATGGAAAAATAAAAGGAACTCTGTCAGTTAAATGTCTTGTTTGTGATTTGACATTGTTTTAAAGATAACATATTCATGCAGATTTTGATTGAGTAAACCCTAGTATAATTTTTTAAATCAAAAGGTTTATAGAACTTGGGAAAAGGAGATTACTAACTCCTTTAGTAGTATTTAGAGATAACTAAAATCTGAAAAAGATTCTAGAATAATCTCTGTATTTTGAAGTTAAAAAAGCAAAAAGAATGAAATTCTGGGTTTGCTATAAGGAGAGGCTTAGAAATGTGTTATATTCAAACTCTGTGGTCTAAAATATGTGTGTAGTTTTAGAATTGATAAGGTCATTATTTCAAACTTCACCATATATTGAGCATCTCCTCATTCTGTCATGTAAAATAGTTGTTTTAGTATATTTTAGTAAAAACTGA